GGGAAGGCGGGGGGGGGGCCCCCCCGGGCGCCCGGAGCCCCTCTGCGTCTTTGCTCCGCGTCTTCCTGGTCTGCAGACCAGGGAGACGCAGAGCAGCTTTTCTCGCCCCGGAGTACACGGGCGGCGGGACCGCGAGGTCCCGCAGTCCGTGTCCTCCGGGGCGAGAAAAGCCCCGTTCGTAACTGCGGATCCGACATAAGTCAGATCCGCGTAAGTCGGGGACTGCCTATAGTTTCTTTGCAGAACCATTTTCTTGTTCACGCTAACTGTAATTGATGTTCACATGGAAACAACACATGCCTTTAATGCTACTTCATTCTGGGCCAAATCCAGCACCTAGCCTTAATAGCTAGGACAGACATTGAGAAGGGGAGGTGAGAAGAAGCTAGTCAGAACCTGATTTCTCAACCCTCCCTTGGCTCAAAAGAACCACGCTCATGGCACTGAATAGCATCTTTCAGCAGCTAGGTAGGAGAAGGGTGGATTTTTTCTTAAATTTCACTGAATCCAAGTTTGCTATAAATTAGTTCCACCCTATGTTGATATCTTAGCAGGGAAGGAATATATGCTTCCCAAGGCATCAAAACTAGCATATCCCTATAAGGATGTGGAGCTTGTAAAAATATTGGTAATTTGCCTTCGATTTATGGTTTGTTCATTAGAGTTGTATGCATAATTTCAGCATCAAGCCTCTTGTAATCATGGAGTAAAATGAAGCATTTGCTTTTTGTGTCTAGTTGCAGACTATACCACATTGAAAGTCTGGCCTAGATATGCTAATAATTCATCATTTTTATCCAAAAGGAAATAAATAATGAATGCAGGTACAACATAAAAGCTCAAAAATGTAGAATGTGGACATTAAAGGTAAACTGTAGTATGTTAGAGAAGAGATTCTCTTTCCTACATTTAATTATAGGACATCATTAAGAGTGAAAAGTGTGATGCAAGTCAAACTTCAAAAGCTGATAATATAAATAGGTAATATGCACACAAGTGATGTTATTGATACAACCAGGAAATGTTTAGTCTAGGTCAATTTTTTTTTTTAAATCACTATTTTAATACGTCTGAGGAGAGAAATCATGTTTGCAGACCTCATGCAAGAAGTGGGATTTCAGGAAGGCATCTAGATATGCGATATTGGAGGCAAAATGAACCAAGCCGGGAGAAATATTTTTTAAAAATACAATTAAAAATCAAATAGAAAGCTGCATCTTCATGATTCAGTGTGGGCAGAGGCTCCTTAGTGGAAACTATGGGGAAAGTAAGTGATTATCAGATTAGCCTATCCTCATGAAGTACCAGGAAAAATGTCAGATGCCGCTCAGATACACATCAGCCACATTCACACGGAAGAAGACAGTAAAAGAGTGAAAGCACTAACACCGTTTGAAATCAGTTTTTAGTATATTTTTGTTTACAAAATACTTTGTACTTCTACACTGGGCCACTTATTCCGGAAAATCAGCCGCTTTTCCGGAATAAGCTGCGAGCTGTCTACACTGGCCCTTGAATTTCTGGAAAAGCAACGATGCTCTACTGTACAAAATCAGCCGCTATTCTGGAAAAACTATTCTGCTCCCGCTCGGGCATAAGTCCTTATTCTGGAACACTGTTCCGGAAAAGGGCCAGTGTAGACAGCCCAGTAGTCTTTTCCGGAAAAAAGCCCCGATCGCGAAAATGGTGATTGGGGCTCTTTTCCGGAAAAGCGCATCTACATTGGCCACAGACCCTTTTCCGAAAAAAGGGCTTTTCCGGAAAAGCAGCCTGCCAATGTAGACGCTCCTTTTCCGGAAAAACTGAAAACGGAATAGTATTCCGTTTTAAGTATTTCCGGAAATTCATGCCAGTATAGATACAGCCCTAAGGCATTATACATAAGTCCTGCAATTTATCTTTAGCGCTTCAATCATGCCCTCTGATGCTATGCATTGGAGGATAGAATTTAATCCCTTATTTAATGATTTGCACTCAGAGCTACATTTTAGGCAAGATGATTTTTAGACTGATGATAAATCATGATTCTGTCATCTGCTTTTCTTTTTTATAGTATTACGTGAGGCAGCGGTGGATTGTTTGACCTTAGGACAATACATGCAACCAACAAAACGCCATCTAAAGGTACAAAGGCCTTGAATTAACGGGAAGTAGACTATGGCCTGCACCTGGTAGCAACAGTGTACCACTTCCCTTGTAGAATGAAATCTTGCACCCATCTGCATACCTTTTCACTATATACCAGCTATGGATGTTTGAAGAGGACACCCCTTGGATTGGGTAGCCTTTCTTGCTCCTCCCAATCTACCTTTTCTCAACAGTTAAGCTTTTCAATGTGGGTCTGTTAATGGGCTGCATGTTAGAAATACCTGCTTACTGATCATAGAATCATAGGACTGGAAGGGACCTCGAGAGGTCATCGAGTCCAGCCCCCCGCCCTCAAGGCAGGACCAAGCTCCGTCTACACCATCCCTGACAGATGTCTATCTAACCTGTTCTTAAATATCTCCAGAGAGGAAGATTCCACCACCTCCCTTGGCAATTTATTCCAATATTTGACCACCCTGACCGTTAGGAATTTTTTCCTAATGTCCAATCTAAACCTCCCCTGCTGCACTTTAAGCCCATTACTCCTTGTCCTGTCCTCAGAAACCAAGAGGAACAAATTTTCTCCTTCCTCCTTGTGACACCCTTTTAGATATTTGAAAACTGCTATCATGTCCCCCCCTTAATCTTCTTTTTTCCAGACTAAACAAGCCCAGTTCATGAAGCCTGGCTTCATAGGTGATGAACAGTGTGAAAAGTATAAAATCTAAAATAAGTTTCATCTTGCCACATTTTGTCTGAAAGTGGAGTTGGCATCCTGTTCACTAACAAATCATTTATGTCAAAGTTATTACCATCTGAGTGTAATTACTTTTTTCCATTCAGGTTGAGGAATATGTTACTCCTGAAAAGTTTAAACACTGGGAAAAAGTGGGAAATGAGCTCGGATTTCATTACACAGCTAGTGGGCCTCTAGTGCGCTCTTCCTATAAAGCAGGTAAAGTACTGCACAATTTTAAAATAAAATTTTAAAGTAATTACAGATGCTTGCACTAGTGGTTCTTTGTTTTACTACACAGCAAATGTGTTGCCTATTATAGTTCATCTAAACAAATGGGTTTGATCATAGTTGCTATTACTTGAACAATTACAGTGGTACTTAAGTCTCAGAGGAGTAGCCATGTTAGTCTGCACATTTGATCAAGCTATTATTTAGTATTGCATTTACAGTTCCAGGAATGGATTTATTGAAAACATTATATAATTTTCAGCTTTTGCCAATAGCTTCTGAGCAAAGTGGGTTTTAAAGATGCCCTCTTTCATCTCATGTGCCTTCACTCATTTCTAAGCCCTGAGTCATTTTTATATAACTGGTTTGTTTTTTTTACAAAGTTTAGTGTACTAAATTGCAGCTGGTCCTGGCTTGCTGTGCATTGACAGCAGAAAGAGCCAGGTGTGGTTTTGTTCCTGCTTAATCTAAAGCACCTTTTGAAGTACTTGGGTCTCATGGTACTGTTTAAAATAGGGATCAGTTCCATTTTATTGTTTGATATGCTGAGATACAAGATGTTAAATGACTTTCACACTAGCAGAGTTAGGGAAGACAACCAGGAGTCCTGACTCCCAGCTTCATGTTGTAATTCTCAGGTTTGGATTTTCTAGAATATTGGACACACTATGACTACATGTACACTGCTTTATTTGTTCTATTTAATCCCCAAAGCACCTAAAACTGATTTAGGTATTTTTCATTTTAAATTAGGTGAATTTTTCTTGAAGAACTTAGTATTAAAAAGGAAGACAAAGATCATCTGAAGGTGGAAATGGACCTACTTTAAGGCACCTACATATTGGAATATTCTCTTTTCCATAAGTTCAATTAATTCCAGAAATATAGCATCCCACATTGTGGAATAATGAATGAATTTAATATTTCTGTAACTCTACTCCCTTAGTAAAACAAGTGACTTTAATTCATCTAGTAGTTTGTTTCCATAAAATGATAGCTTTGGAATGTATCAAAACAGATTCAGGTTTGATGAGCAGAGGAACAATGAGAGGGGAAAATAGAGAAATGGCTTGTCAATGTAAAATAAAACTGATTGTGAAATCAGGAAGAGTGTATTAAATTAAAGAAAGAAAATCTTGCCAGTGTCAGTTGTGACTTTTTTCTTCTCCTGGGAGTGCCATCTCCACCATTATTTATTTATTTAGTGGGGACTAATACTTGTTAATTTGAAATGTGTGAAATCTTAAAATGTTCAAATTTTATAAAATGTTCAATATTAGCACTTCACATTCTGTCCTTCCACCATTTTCCCTTTCAGCCCAACCAGCGAGAGAAGAGTGGATCAGTCTAAAAAAAATCAAGAATGGTTGTGTCCCTAATTCTCAACTAATTAACAAAAGAATGATTGCTTTTATTTGGGACCCTCCTAACTTTCATGTTCCATGGTCTTCACTGGGTGATCTGGCCTTGATCTATTGCATTGGAGGGTTGTGGTATTCATATTTAAAAAATGACCATCCAAGAAATGAAGTAATTGTCACTAGTTGTTGCATTGTATTTCCAATTAAAGATTCTTATCTTTTTTAGAATTAGTGATATAAATTATGTTTTAAATCTGCATGAAAATTCATTGCTGTAGTTAATTCATTGCTAATTGCAATAATCTGAGTGTTCACTAAAATGACAGTATTTGATATGAACACCAGAAATATAAAAATAGCTTACTCATAAGGCTATCATGCAGCTGTGAAAAGACACTAAACTGTTTTCTCAATCTGAGGAATGATGCTGCTGGAAAGTTTTTCCAATATTACTTCATGGTTTAAGTATTTTATGAATCACTGATGGGTGGTTCTGAAGGTTTAAAAATATGAGTGAGCGTGAAAAACAACCATTTCTGAGCTTTTATAAACTTGAATCTACCTAATAAGTTGTAACAAAGTTTACTTATGCCTGATTCTTAAATACAGGGGTTTTTACTTTAAATTTTTAATATTAATCACTTATTACTTAGATTTATATTTTTAAAAAGTATCCCCTTAAGAACTTTTGAGGACACACATACTAAAGATAACAGATGAAAAATTCCCCCTCTGCAAAGCAGAATTTGTTCAGGCACTCCATTTTGGGAAAAGCTTTCCCACCATATTTGTCCAAACGTCTCCCCCTCATTGTTAAATATTTTCAACCTTTCTTAAATGTTGATGCTGTACCAGTTTGCTAGAACAAAACCTGTGCACCACTAAAATCTTAGGCTGTCTACACTGGCGGGTTATTGCACAAGTATGGCTGTTCTTGTGCAAGAATCTGCAGAGCGTCTACACTGCCTGCCTGCGAGTGGAACCAGAGTGCACTGGCTGCCAGCCTGGCCCCCAGGAACTATCACATAGTTACATAACCAGTAATATTGTACGTGGTTACACTATATCTAACAACTCTATCAGGAAGTCCATTACAGGAACTGACCCCAAGTCTCCTGAGCCCAGTTCGTCCTTCTGCTAACAGTGGATGATCCTAATTGAGCATCTGAGGATTGTCAATCATTCAGAGTATAAATAGGATGATGAAGAGCAATTCCTAATATTCTAAAACTATACAGGCAGTCTCCGGGTTACGTACAAGATAGGGACTGTAGGTTTGTTCTTAAGTTGAATCTGTATCAGCTGACAGCAGGGTAGTTTTTCGACAGATCCTGTAGTCCTCAAAAACCCAGGAGTACAGGATCTGTCAAAAAATCACCCCGATGTCGGAAGAACTGTGTCTAAACCGCGGTTTCAGTTTTGAAATGGTATTTGTTTGAAACAGAGCCAGAACGTGATTATGCAAATGAAGCGCAGGATATTTAAATCCCCGCTTCATTTGCACTTTCGATGTGCTTTATTTACATCCCTCTGGTGACAGAGGGGTGTAGTGTAGACACAGCCACTAGGAAGACTACCTAGTCTGTTAAAGAAGCTAATTAAAAGAACTTGCTGGTGAGATTTTACATACAGGCAGTCCCCGAGTTACGCGGATCCAACTTACGTCGGATCCGCAGTTACAAATGGGGATTTTCTCGCCCCGGACGACTGGAGCAGCGGGACGCCCGGTCCCGCCGCCCGCGTCCTCCGGAGCGAGAAAACCTGCTCTGCGTCTCCCTGGTCTGCTGGGGGGGGGGAGGAGCACACTAGCTGGGCCCCCCCACCCCCCAGCAGACCAGGGACATGGGGAGCAAAGCCACAGCTGCAGCAGGGTCCCTCGCCTCCCCGGCTTTGCCAGAGCAAAGCCTCAGAGGCGTGGGACCCCTCCGCCTCCCTGGCTTTGCTCCGGGTGTCCCTGGTCTGCTGGAGACGGTGGGGCACCGGGAGCAGCTTTTCTCGTCCCGGAGGTCGAGGTGGAGGGATCGCTGCCTGCGAGCTCTGGGGCGAGAAAGCCCCGTTCGTAAGTGCGAATCCGACATAAGTTGGATCTGCGTAAGTCGGGGACTGCCTGTATTAGCCCTTACACTCACAAAAATTATTTCTCCCTACTTCCAACAGTTAACACCCAAGATTACTATAAGAAAGATTACAGCAAGTAGTATTTTAAAGTTTACTTTGTGCATCTGACAGCATTGTCAGTAGAGCTGGTAAGAACAACAGAAAATTAATGGAAGACTTTTTCAGTTTTACTTTCAGTGAGATTTTATTTATCCATTGAGGAGCTGGGCTCAAGTTAGATACCTAAATACTTAATTTTGAGTTAATTCCCAGTGCAATCACTTGAGCATCCTGGCCTTCATGTTTCAGTTTTACCTGTCTGTGCAGATAACTCTTAGCGAAAAGTGGGAAGAGGATTTTTAAAAAGGAAGTGTGAGGAAGATTCAAACAGTATGTAAAGCTACTTTTTCCACTTTTTTTCCAGGTCTAGATTTCAAGTTGACTTTAACCCTTTAATTGTAGATGCTGTGGTTCTCTTTCTACTCAAGTGTCATTACAAAATGTGCATTAACCTACAAAGTCTAAAATTTGAAACAAACCTACAATTGGCAGAATAAAGTTTGATTCAGCTGCTAATTACTTCATTGGAAGTCTATCTATTGACTAACAGAAGTTGAAACGGGGTCCTAACTCAACAGATACTGCATCACAAAAATGTAATATGTTCTTTAACAAAAAATTGTACTTACAGGCATTCACAAGGGATCTCCTCAGAGGTTCTCCTTTACATATACATAATTGACGCTCCAACTCTTCATTATTAAAAAGTGTGGTCTTCAATTTTAGGAGGAAACATTGGTTAACAAAGATGTCCCCAATACTCCTAAAAGCAATCAAATTATTCACCATATCCTTTTACATTATTTTAAAAATTTAGTCCAGATTTTAGTTGTATACTAAGATTATAGAAACAAATATAAAATTTAACTACTTCAGCTCCAGCAGGATAGATGACTTAGCAATCAGTTTGAGTACACAACAAAATAGAAAAAGGGTGAGGTTACAGGTATTCCTTCCTAGGTTAAGTCAGTCATTAGTGCCCATAACCGTGTACTCTTTCACAGCTGCATTTGCTCCAGCATTCTCCGCTTGCCGGTCACTTTGTGCAGCCGACAAGCTGCAGAATTAGTATTCTCCCTCCAAAATAGGCTTGTTACTCACTTGCAACATTCCTGGATGTAGAACAGTTGGCCTTGGACAATTCTGACTGACCCCATAGAAAGATATGAAAGGATAACTAGCTTCTCCAACAAAAAAGATTTTGAATTAGGACTAGATCCACAACAGGGACTTAAAATGCTGAGATTTATGCCTTGCCACCTATTGGGAGTCTAGAGCTCCAGAACAGGCATACAACACTGACTGTGCAATGCACTGGCAGAGTCAAGTACCTAACAATGGGATCCAAAAAATGCCAAGGAGAGTGATAGGCCCCAAGCACCTCTCTCACTCAAAGGGACGAAGGCGCCTAAATCCATGCTGGGGGCGGGAGGAGTGCCTTTCGGGGAAAAAGGGGTACATAAAGGATGTCATTAATACAAGGACTTGTGTCTTCACATCACGTGTGAATACCCTTACTACTGGCCTATAGGCTCAGTCACTCTTCTCCTGGCTACCCATTGTCTTCGGTCCACCCTCTCTGGGGCACCTGGTGCTGGCCACTTTCGGTAGACAGGATACTGGGCCAGAAGGACCTTTGGTCTGACCCAGTATGGCCGTTCTTATGTTCTTACTGACTATGAGCTATTTCACACCAAATGAAAAACTTAGAGAGTCCTGACCCACCCAAAGTCTAGTGGTTAGGCCGCTCTCATGAGAGGTGGGAGACCCTGGATTTCTCACATACTGGTTGAGTGCTTTATCCCCCATTTATTGCCTTTAACCCAGTGATTAGGCAGCCACCACCTGCATTTTGTGCAGGCCATGATCCAGTAGGCAGCTTGTGAGCATGCCTACTGAATCAGTCCCTGCACCATGTGACTCCCCCTTTGCGCTTGTGGGAGGAGGTGGTGTAATACCCATTTTGAGAATGCCACTGGAGTTTAGGCATAGGCCTGGCACCTACTTATCACAACTTAGGCAGTTGTGAGCATGGCCCATGGCAAAAATGTGGGTGCCTATGGATATTAAGCACCTACAGAATGAAGCAGAGGCTGAGCAGAGAGGGGTTTTGAGGAGCTACATTTTGGACACCTACATTCTTTTCTGGTTGTAGCCAGATAATTAAGTACATTTGTATAAACTTTCAGGGGTTAAAATGATTATCATAACCTCATTGCAATAGAAATCAATGCGCCAATAGTTTACAGCAATAAACATATACTATGCTGCACCTACAAGAATATACACAGCCAAGTGTTAGGTTAATAACTGCTAAGCAGTTTTCAATCCCATGAGCACAACCCATGAGCCCAAATTACTTGAGAAGTTTTGGGGCCTCCATGCCCTTCTAACAAAGAAAATTAAGGGTTCATGGCCCCCGACACCTATTCACAGCACCTATTTGTCACAGCCCCCAAGATGAGAATACGGAAACAGGTGAAATACAGACTTTTATTACTAAAAAAAGTATTTAATAGCACAGATCTATTAGGACAATGAAAAGTAGAAATTAAAGTGAAATATATAAAAAGCAAACATAAGATACATTCATGCTAATCAGAGTGAGGTAGAAAGCGAAC